CGCCCTTGTTGCCCACACAGAAGCAGCTCTGCAGCATTTAACATCCTGCTTTGCAGAGGCTGCTGAGGTCTTTGGGCTGAGGCCTAAAGAAGAGTGAAGTTCTCTATCAACCTGCATCTCAGGAAGTCTTCCATCATTCCCATATCACCATTGGTGAATCAGAGCTCAAATCAGTCCAGCAGTTTAATTACCTAGGCAGCCTCATCTCCCTGGATGGTAAGATTGACGGAGAGATAGACAACAGGTTAGCAAAGGCATATAGTGCTCTCAGAAAGCTTCATAAAAGAGTCTGGCAATATAAACACCTGAAGAAAAGCACAATGATCAGTGTTTACAGAGCCATAGTGCTGTCTACTCTTTTATATGGATCTGAATCATGAGTCATCTACTGCCACCACCTGTGACTCTTAGAATGCTTCAATTAACGCTGTCTCCGTACAGTCCTAAACATCCACTGGTCAGATTATGTGACTAATACGTCTGTTCTAGAACAAGCAGCAGTCACAAATATTGAGGCCATGTTGCTGTGAACACAGCTGCATTGGGCAGGGCACGTCTCAAGGATGAAGGACCACCGCCTCCCTAAGATCCTGCTTTATGGTGAACTTGCCTCTGGCTGCTGCATGAGAGGAGCCCCAAAGAGGAGATACAAGGACTCCCTGAAACAACATCTCAGCCTTGGCCATATTGATCTTCATCACTGGTCTACTTTGGCCTCCGACCAGGAGGTCTGGAGACACACCATCTATAACGCTGCTGCTTCCTTTGAGAACGCATGCAGGATCACTCTCGAGGAGAAAAGACAACGCAGAAAGAATTGTGTCTTGCCGATACCACCTAAGGAGTCTTTCTGCTGTGCCTTTTGCAATCGGACTTGTCTATCTGGCATTGGCCTCTTTAGCCACCCACGCGCTTGCAGCAAATGTGGGGAGAGCCCTTCCCAAATCTTCATTTGTGAAGCCCAGCCATGATACATACCTTAGGGACATTGCCTATTTTAAAATAATTGTGTCAAGCAATTTTCAGGTCAGATGCTTTATGTTGTAACAAAATGAGAGAGTATAAAATATTCTGAACTCCTATAATTGCAGCAAATTCGAAACAGAAATGGACTAAAGTTGTCAGCTCTGTGTTTCTATAAGAATTCAGGTCAGATTTGGCTATAATACAAACCAAATGAGAATTTCATTTATTTCTTTGGTTATTTATGCTTCTTCTCAAACACCATGTTTTAATGTTGCCCTTGACTTTATAAGAGAAACTGACTGGGAATGACGACTTAGGAGTTCTCTCATTTTAAAGACTGTAGGCAATAAAGACCAACAGACAGTATCCAGTTGAATTTATGTCTAGACCACAAGAGATAAATAATATAGATAAGCACATAATCATACTTTCCTATAAACATGAAAAGATGGTGAATGGTATGCAAATAACCTCTATTTTCTCCCAAGCAGATGTTTGTACATGCCTGGTAACATGTACGTCAGAAGATAGAATCTCATGGAGAAAACTGCATACCTGCTTGAACCACGTGCAATAATAGTAAGTCATAAGGCAAATGTAACTAAAAACCTCTGAATGTGATTCTGCATTGTTTCTTTCATGACAGTACCAAAATATGGGACAGAAAAACATGACTGGGTTGACTTCACCATTGATAGTTTATTTTTCCAACGTCTGTGAATAACCATCAGAACTGTTTACTTGTGCAGCAAAAGTCTTGAGTTTCTCAATTTATCTTTTATTTATGTAACAGCCCATGGTTTCTATAACTATTACTTTGATTTTATTGTTCTAATTTCTTTGGCATTTACAACACTTGCAAAGGAATATAACCATCCCCAGCCTATTTCTAATGTCTCAGAGACTCTATGTTCTGATATTGCCATAGTTAATTTCAGCACATTTTGCAAAATTACAAATGGAAACCCAGAACATTATATCTAGGAGACACTGTAATACCTGCAAACAGAAAATTATTTATTCAAATAACTGACATTTGGAAAAAGCAAGTATGTTATCAGCGTGAAGACCCTGGAGCAATCTTTTGAGGTTGGTTAAGAGGCATCCACTTTGCTCTGCCAAACAAAATACAGGAAATAAGAGATCTGTTTCACGGATACTGAGTGGTCTTAAGACTGACTTGAGAACCATACGACTTTTATCCAACGAATGATCCTATAGTGTGTAAAAAAAGAATTCAAGTGTACATAAAATTGCACAGTAGCACACTTGTAATGGTTATCATTAATTATGATTTAGATATCCACTAATACCTGTGTATTTACTTGTGTATGAGAGTTCTGCAATAGATATGTAGCAGCATCTTTTAAAAAAAAAAACAACTTGTATGCTAAAGGAGGTATTGTTCAGTGTAGAAAACAGGGCTTTTCCCACAGTTTTTAGCAAAAAACTGTGAAATATCTTTAATTCCCATAAAAAAAGACAGTCTTGCTGTACTGAATGATTTTTAGAAAGAATTAAATCTGTAACTTGTGAGTTTTCTCTGATTGCTCCTTGTGCAACTAAAAGAGTTTAAAATGTTGTTATTCACCTTGAAAATTACTGTCTCTACTTCAAAGGGAAGCTCTAAGAATAATCCGTTTAACATCGCAAGGCACTTGTATGATAATAGGACAAATCTTCCAGATAGACAAGATTTCTCTTTGCCAAATGCCTTTCTATAATAAAGGAAGTGATTGTTATGAAAAAAGGGCACAAAAAGGATAAAGGGCTCTAGAGACTTGAAAGGTAAAAAAAAAAAAAACAACTATCAAAAAGAAGGGTATTGTTTGAATCCAGAGAATGAAATGCTTTTCAGAATAGGATTAGTTAGAAACTCATTGTTCTGATATTTCACAAAATCTCTACTGAGACCTGGTGATACAGCCAATGAACTTGTTTTATCAAAAAGCCAGCTCCTTGTGATACTCGTGACTCTCTAAGGTGGATTTTCTGATCTTTACCTGAACAAAGTGTTTCTACTTAGAACGTTGAAAATCGATTCAAATCCTTGTATAGGACGATCTACCTAATTTCCTGTTTTACCTTGAGCTCATTCAGAGGACCAATATGAATGCAGAGTTGGGAGGAACTGTGAATTGATCAGATAAATTCTCCCGCAATAACTCATCCTGAGAAATGGAGCAGCAGTGCCAGTCTCAGCTGACACTGGAAAAGGGTAAAAGGTAAATCCTTTTTTTGCTTTTAATGGTTCCTCTATCAATGTCCAGCCAACCTGGGGAGTTCTGCAGGTGAAAGGTACAAGAAGATAGGAAGAAGATATGACATGTGACAGAATAAGACACTGGTTGTGAATAAAACCTACCACCATTTCCCCTCAAAATTTATAAATTTCTCCCTAGTTTTCGTATTCATTTAATGTTCAGTATCCAAATAATATGTGCCTATAGAAACAAGTTTCACTTTCTCCTCGAAATATGAGAAGGCAAACGATTTTGTAACTGAAATTTTGGTTTCTGTAAAGATGTGAGTCTCTGTTCATTTGTGTTTGTAAGAGGAGATCTTAATATTAATATATTTGTAAATCAATGAAATAGAGAACTTATAGTCTCTGGATCCTCTGACAATCCAGGTAGTGTATTAGGTATCCAGGTAGTGTATTAGGTATTTTAGAGCCTAGGACTGCACAGTGGGTGGTTTTGATTAAGTTCTCCAAGATGTACCACTATTTGTTAATAGAATGAAGTCTACACTTTCTTTTCTTTCAATAATTGATAGAATAAATACATCACAGGTACATCCTGAACATTATTAACAAATTTGAGAGGTCTTTCATGAAACTTAGGAGGAATGTCAAGGCACACATCATCATAAGAAATTAAATATTACATCACTAGGTAGAGGAAGAACTTGGAAAGGAACTTTCAAAGCTTAATACAGTTGCTGACCAGAAGACAAGAAACAGAACTGATGGAATGAAGTTTCTTACAAACTATCCAGTCCATTCCGTCTATCACCTACAGACACAGACCTATTGGAACGAGTCCAGAGGAGGCCATGAAAATGATGAACACCTCTCCTGGGAGGACAGGCTGAGAGACTTGGGTTTACTCAGTCTGGAGAAGAGAATGCTTTGGGGAGAACTTAAAGCACCTTCCAGTAACTGAAGGGCCTACAAGAAAGCTGCAGAGTGACTTTTTAACATGGGCTTGTAGTGATAGGAGAAGGGAGAATGGCTTAAACTAAAAAAAGGTAGGTTTAGACTAGATATTAGGAAGAAATTCTTGACTGTGAGGGTGGTGAGGCACTGGAACAACTTGCCCAGAGAAACTGTGGATGTCCCATCCCTGGAAGTGTTCAAGATCAGGTTGGATATGATTCTGAGCATCTCGGTCTAGAGGAAGGTGTCCCTGTCCATGGTAGGAGGTTTGAAATGAAATGCCCTTTAAGGTCCCTTCCAAACCAGGATGGTCCTTTGCAGGGTTAAGAGTTGGACTCCGTGATCCTTGTGTGTCCCTTCCAATTCAGCATATTCTGTGATTCTATGATAAGATTCTATTTCTTTCTAATCCGATGCCAAAAGATGACAAGTTAGATACATGGTTTATGTATCCAGGGTTACAAGCATGTGTTATTGTCTACTATCAATAGTTTCAACTTTCTTGGGTTTTGGAACTATTTTTTTGAGATACATTATCTTTGATAACAATAGGACATTGTGAAAGAAGTATCTGTTCAGAAAGTAGGATGAGAGTGGAGTAGAGAGTCAGCTTCATAGAACCTACACAGAGTAGCTCATACAGTTAGACTGTCTTGGAATTGAGAAAAGCATCTTTCAGTTTCTCTGTATGTTAATTCAAACCTCTTATTACATTGTCTCTAAAACAGTAACACCAATGATATCTCTTTCTGCAGGTTATAACACTGCTAGGACATGGAATGTTCATTTTTTTGTGTGTTTCAGTGTCTGCATCTTTATCAAATTATTTAAAAGAACAGAAAAAGTGTAGCGTCTTTTGTTTTTACAAGTTTACCTGTGACTAAACTGGAAACAATTAGAGGCAGAACCAGCATTTGCAGCATTCTCATGAGTAGCTCTCCAGGAAACGAAAAGTACTTCACTTCCCGGTAGCTCATCTTATATGATCGGAGAGAAAATCCAAGAATTACACCTGAAGAGAGGAAAAAGATATCATTACTTACTCTTTTAAGGTAGTAGTAACATCTAAACATGAATATTTATAGGGTACTTACTCAACATATCTGATTGTAACATGCAGTTGTTATTATGCCCCAGATTGCAGTCCCGATATTCTTTCTCCAGTACCATAGCTACTAATATGAGTAGTCCTACTGAAGCCAGGAAGTTATTGTCATAGTTTAGGAGTGGTATTCCCCAATTTAGTGTTCCCAGCAAAACACTCCAAACCATATGCCGTTCACTCACACCTCTGTCCCCTCCCTGCCCTTCCTCTGTGGAGGGATGGAGAGGAGAACCAGAGGCACAAAAGGTAAAGATCAGCGGTTGAGATAAGAACAATTTACTGGAGACAGCAACGAAATAAGAAAACGAACAATTTTAATAACGAAGTGTGCAAGAGTCAAGGGATTCACAAATGATTGCTCACCACCTAGAAACCTCTGACAACACCCCACTGTGCTGCCACGCTCTGTGACCCTGCAGACACCCCTCCTCCTGTCCCCAGAAAATGAGGTGAGTGGGTACAGAATAACCTCTGGGTCCCGGCCAAGCCCCCTCCTGGATACTGCAAAAATTACCCCTGTTCTGGCCAGAACCAGGACAGGTATTCAGAAGGTTATTTGTGCTGCTGTTTTTTGAAATCTGCGTTACTGTCGAAGGTACATCTTGAGCACTAATGAAAAGGAAACAATCCCTGCTACTACAGACAAGTGCCTTGGTTTCTGGGATTTTGAGTGTAATCACATGTGCAATGCACATACATACTAGCTACCAGTCTTCAGAAGTCTTGTCCATGCCTGTTTACTCTGTGGGGCCTGATCCTGCAGGTGTGCTGATGGGAGGAGATAACCAGGACAGACGTATTTGAGAATCCCCTTGTGGTTTGGTCCTTTCACAGTCAAACATCAGCAGGAGGTAAGCGGTTTGCACACTCCTACCTTCAGAAACATTGGCATTTGCAAAGAAGCAGCTAATCAGGGTTGGAAGGTCCTACTGGAGGATTAAGTGGTGGGTCTCAATGCCTGAGGGACAGGAGTAAGGGAATGCCTGGATCCATTTATCTTTCTGTAAACAGATAAATGATGCTTGAGATACATTTATAAATGGAAGCCAAAGATGGGCTGATGTGTGGCAACATAAACTTCTCACCTACAACTTTGTAGATTTTGTCCTATACTTGGCATCATCTGCTTTATTTACGTATTAGTTAGTTATTTGGTTAACTAATATTAACCAATTGCAATTTGCAATTGTTAAATGGCTTGGTGCCTATCTGATGTACATCTTCTACATCCAGCCAAACAACACATGGCTTTATCTGGAACACATTAACCATACAGATGTGAAACTCAACTATCCATCCCATTCATGACTCCACGACTCCATGTTCTACCCCACCGTCTAGTACTTGTGTTTGGGTTAACTGTTACTGTATAGAAAGTTGGATCAGAAGACTGGTCCTGCTGCATAAAGAATTTATTTTACTGGGTTAATTTTTAGCCAGGTCAATTCCCTGAGGCAATTTTTTGTACAGCTACACAACTCTTGGTAGCTTTACAGAGAGAAATGTGCCTTGGAGAAGAGTGAGATTGCCCTTTCTGGCAGATAGCCAGACTTCAGTTTCCTAAAACATTCCATGAAACTGCCTCCTCAGTGACATTAGGCAGCAGAGCATTCAAACTCCCTTCTAGATCCTGTTAGAACTTGAGGGCAAGCTGAAAATTCTGTACCGCTGAACACTTCTGGAAACCGACAGTTCCAATTCTTAACCACTTTGTGGTTTTGCTCTTCTTTAAAATCAGATTTTTGATTGGTACATCCATAGAGCAGATAACATCTTCATGCCAAATTTTACTGGTTAAAATATGCTATTATACCTCCTACTCTAGCTTATTGACATCTGCTGACGTAAGGAAACAGCTGTGTCTCTCAACTAAGTGACTTCTATCTATCTGATTGTGATTTAGGGACTTCAGCAGGTTGTTTAAGCTAGAGGAATCCAGAAATATCTTGCGTAAAACAGAAAATCTGAGTTACAAAATGGGAGAAAAGTGATTAGAGTGCAACTGGCACCAAGCACGGAGATCATGCTATGGAAGAGAGCGGCAGGACTAGAAGGCATCCGGTTTAGTCTCATTTATGTTCTATAGTCTCAGGTAGACAAAGTGCATTTTGCATAAATGGTTCTTTTTTAGGTAAAATTACATCATAAAATGCACAGAGGAAAGGCCTCTGAATAAGTCTTGTTTAAAAGACCTGTCTAAGAGTTTCCCTTCTTTTCAATCAGGTTTTAAATTCCACTGCGGTGTTACTCATTATTTTCTTTTCATATGGGAAACACATTTCTCAGATATAAAGAATCCATCTGGACCTTTTGTTTCTGCACTTAATGAGCACTACATTTTGACAACTGGATAATAAGCAAATAGAGCTAGACTAGTTTCTTACTTAGGCCACAGTTCTGCAATTAGTTCCACATGAATTAATCTCTGCACTAGTACAAAGCCTCGCTGAGGTTGGTAAGGGTTTCTGAGGCTGCTATAAGAACTAGTCCTTATGCTATGCTATAAGGGCTTGATTATCTGTTCCACTACTGTCCAAGCAGTACAAAATTACCTAAGACAGAACCAGATGACTGTCTGAATGAATATTATTGGTAGTGAGAGTGAGTTTTTGAACTTTCTATGTAAACCTGTTGAGCCAAAACTTATCTGTTTTTTTTTTGTCCTGAAGTGCTCTGTGCGTAACTACAGGGTTGCCCAGCACTGCAGTTTACAGAAAGAATTTCTGCAATGTGAAAAAAATGTGCCCTGGTAGTGTATTCTGTTGAAATGTATAAACACCCAATAGTTACTAATTCTTCAGCCTTAATCTTAGCACTGCTATTAATTTGTATGCAGTCACGCCTAAGACATGTGAACCTTTCTCTGACTCAGTTTCCCTGCTTGTAATGTAGATACGGTAATAGTTGTTTCACAGATATTTCTGAAAATTAATTATGTTCACACAGTGATCTTAGCAGCTCAAGAAGAAATTCAAGCAAATTATTTCCTCATTGTAGCAAGTGCTGCTGAAAGCAGAACAGCATGATTTTACCAGTTTCTCTTGATTTTAGATTAAATGAAGATTGGACATTATTTTCTGTTCTGATTTTAAATACCTAGATACTGGGTATTATATCCTGTTTGACAAAGTTTTGTTAACGAAAACTGTGTTCTTGAAACAGAAAAGTCAAACTTGGTAAGGTAGCTTTGTCTTCTTTGAAATAACTTCTTAGAACCAATATTCACAGGCTTAGATAGCGGCACACAATGATGATTTAAAGATAGACACAATGACAAAGCATCAAAATAAAGCCGTGAAACAAGATCTGCTAGGAGGTGCTAAACCTTTGGAAGGTGTGCAGAATTCCAACAACCATCCAGTACTTTGTGTGCAGTAAGAGTTTTAGTGCTCAGCACTGTCCATAATCAAGACAGGGAAGATTAAATATTGGAACTGACCTTTCTCAGTAAAAGTTTCAAATTTCAGGTTAATTCTGAAAATTGTAATGAAACAAAGCCTTGTGTGAAACAAGCTCCCACAACTTGTTGTGCAGGTTTCTGTCTACCCTTTGTAACACAAAGGAACAACTAATCAGCGCTATCAGAGCCTGACTTCTCAAATGGTAAATGGTGTACCATTTCTGCACTGCAGAAAAGAGCAGATTTCTCAACAGAATTTGTTAGGCTTTTTCTGGACAAAAATGAGTAGAGCTTGTTTAAGTTAACAAGCTGAACTGTATGCGTGTCTATAGTTTGTGTAATAGAACCATACTGCTAAATAATTTATACACTTCATAACGATGAACCAAATGAGATTAAAGTTGTAAAAAGACTCTTGAGGTATTCTTGTCAGTGATACAGTCAAGTTTATGGAAAAATTTATTTGCACATAATCCTGATGACAATCAGAACAATCCTTAAACTAAACAATTTTATTATATTTTTATACCAGTATACATGTTCAAAGTAAAATCCAATCTGTATGAATACAGTGAAGAGTAGATTTAAAACTTGAAAGGAGAAGAAGGTAAAAATAATTCTGGAAGTAATGGTAAAGGAATGAAAATGACAAAAATGGTAGATATGATTTGGAATTCCTTATTCCAAAAATAGAAAGACTTTGATAAATGGCTTAGGGTCTTCACTTCTAGATTCTGGGTACCAGAAAGGAAACAATAAAGACTTCGTATCAGACTTTCAAAACTATGGATATACCTGTAATGGCTAAGGAACATGGAACCTTCTATATAAAATTTCTTAAATTTCTTAAATGGATTAACATCAAAGTGTTAAAGTGACGAAGTGAGCAATAAAATCAGGATTCGAAGTAGCAAGACAAAAATACTTTTGTAATATTAAGTTTTTAGGAACATGTGTTATGGAGATGGTTTAAAAAAAAATCACATAATTTCCTAAATTGAATTGGAAAATGAACTTCAAAATCCTCCACGGAGAAAACGAAGTTCTTAATTGTGTGCAAAAATGCCTTGGTCTCACAATAGTAGAGAGCTGTTTCACACGATTCTTTCTGTTGCATAGATTAAAAAAGTTGCACACCTACACGAGTTTAAAACACCACATCAATTAAAAATTTAAAAAAAAGGAATCACAACCCTTAGAAGATGAGAGATGGGGCTTTACCCACATCTAAATGCTCATTCAGGAACTTTAGGGAAGCTTACGTCTATCCTCCTCCTTGGCCCACTCAGAAGAATTAGACAGAAAAATTTAATAAAGAGAGACAATTGCTTTTTCCATTGCTTCGAGTAATTAATAATTTTAACTCTGAGTTATTAAAATGAATTCTTACGAGCTTCTGGTCTCTATCTTATTTCAGAATCACACAGGAATTAATACCATGCAATTATTTGGAGCTAATATTTTTTACTATGTCCATGCTCTTTGCTGTATTTTCACACAGAAACTA